AGGAGGAGGAGGAGGAGGAGGAGCACCAGCAGCTGAGAGACCATATACTTTGATATGTGTGCGAGAAGGAAGAGAAAGACAAAGAGGAAGACGACGAACAGGAGGAGGTAAGCCTCCATCACCGTATGCTATGCCTTCATCTGACATCTCCCCGGAGGAGATGGAGGTGGAGGAGGAGGAGGAGGAGGAGGACAGGCACTTTCCCTTAAGAAAGTCTGGATTGTTTGGTATCGCCATCGACACACCCTCATAGTCCTACAGGAAGAGAGCACAGACAAGAAAGTCGAAATGAAACTACACGAACCACTCATAGGTCACCACAGTTCACTCACGCATACATTTTTAAAATCAATAATGCAGTGATTAGTTTCAAAATATTAGTAACTTTGGGTTTTTTTCCCTCATTTTTAGTAAAAAATAAAAATAAAATTCCACTTTTCACAGTATAATACTGCACAGAAGGACTCCAAATTTAATCAAAATGAAAAAAAATGCTGTTCAGAGTGACTCCAGCTTATCCAAATCGATTCAAAAATTGCCAAAAAACAACCTTTTCTTTTCCCCAAAACTATTTTGGATATATGGCTAAAGTTACTCAGAATTTATTTTTTTCTGATTTCCATCATTCTAACTTTATTCTAACGGAAGTCATTTCTGAGTCCTCCCTCCTTCTTCGTCTGCTTCCACACAGCAGCAGGACTTTAGACTGTGGCGAAAAATGAGGAAAACAGGGGAGCAAAAAACATGCAGAAATCAAAGTGTTAATTTTCATTTGTTTGTGCATTGAAAATGGAATTCAAGATCCTTGAACTAACTGTGGGTGAATAATCCGGTGAGGCCTCCTCGTCCGCCTCCTCGTAGCACTGCACTTCGTCATCCATCTACGGCAAACAGACAAACGTTAAATTGGATGAGAGACCAATCGATCCAGCATATGCAATAACTTTCTCTCATCATCATTAACTTGTCACGGAGGATCAATGGAGACGATACGATGCGCTAATTCAGCATTTCTTAACCTCTTGTATTCATTTTAGTTGGGGGCTTTATTTAAAAATATTAGTGTGTGAAAGGACAAACCAGGGCAAAACCCATGTCCATGTCCGACTCCGTGTCTGAATCCCTCTCAGAATCGAGCATCTCGTCGTCCTGAGGAGAAGTCCAGCTGACGTAGGGCAGGAAGTCCACGTCCTCGTCCGCGATCAGCTTGGGGATGTCGGTGAAGCCGTCCTCTGATTGGTCCGAGTCCTAAAACAAGGAAGTTGTTTCAGTTCGGAGCAACAATGAAAAAAAAAAAAAATCGTCAAATCCAGGATGTGAAGTGAGTGAATGTGAAGGGGATTTAAAGTTCCCACTGACTCTTTCCTCGATGGCCACGAAGCTGGTGAACTGAGACAGGATGGAGAAGTCTCTGCTTAACTCGATGATGAAGGACTTGAGCTCCGCCTTCTTGCTCTATAAAAGCAAAAAAAACAACGACAGCGTAAAATTAACCAAAGGCTGTGATTTTAGCTGTGGTGGAAATTCAAAGTGGTTAAACCGCCGCATGATGTAGATATTGGCTTAAAATTTTTGTTCATTAAATTGTACAGTAAAATGGTAAAATTCGCACAGGACCTGATGTGAAGTTAAAATATTACAATCAGCAGCGAGAAACTTTCTTTGAGTGTAAAAAAAAATAAAATGCCGGTTTGTTTCGTTACCTGTTTGGATTTATATTGTGCTGTTTGCAGTGCTATACACAGTATGTTAACAGCTAAAGTGAACGCCAACAACTAANTTGAGGCGGTTTAACAGATGCAGGCAAACTCCAACTCACTGACGCATTCGAAAAGCTGAAAGCTTGTGGTGCATCTCCCGCAGAAGAAAGTACGGGAGGTCTGGACAGTCCCCAAGCCCGTGGCAGTAGTTTAGACAGTTTATCAGATGCAGGCAAACTCCGACTCACTGACGCATTCGAAAAGCTGAAAGCTTCTGGTGCATCTCCCGCAGAAGAAAGTACGGGTGGTCTGGACATGCTGTTAGCAAATAGTTGAGATCGTTGAACAGATGCAGGTTCAACTGATGCAACTGAAGAACTGACACCTCCTTGTTCAACACCGAAAGAAATTGCTTGACTCATCTGAGGAACAGATTTTGGCTCAAAAGAATCAACGCCAACGCCACCAAAACATGACTGTTGTCGGGACACTGAAGAGGACACGGCCGACCCAAAGCAGATTCCTCGTCTTTTTGCTTTCATGCTTCCTTCCCTTCTTGTCGGCATTGCCCGGGCTGGTGCTCCTATCATTACTTCTTCTTCAAGCATGTCAGAGACTTGAGCTGCTGCAGGAACAGCGTCAGCAGATTCAGCCTCAATGGCCACTCGATGCAGACTTTCAGCTCTCATGTCAAGTGTACCCATGGAGGAAGTTCTAGCAGCTCCTGTCGACACCTCGAGGTCCATGGAGAAGGCGGACAGAGGAAGTGGAGGAGGAGGAGCAACAGCAGCTGAGAGACCAGATACTGGGATATGTGTGCGAGAAGGACGAGGAGGAGGACTGCCTTCATAAAAAGGAGGAGG